CAGTCTATTTAATCATTCGTATAGAATTATTTTGGTCTTTCTTATTTTTTTTGTATAATAAGTTATATTTTGTTTCGAAAAATTGGCTTCAGTTTATAATTCATTTTTGCTCTTCATTACTTAAATTATCTGATAATTATACTATTTCTAAATAATTATATAAATTTTGATATAGGTCTAAATTTATGAGTATATTATGATTTCTTCCTGTTTCAATTTTGAAAGGGCATCCACATTTGAGTGAATTCTGCCTGGCTTATGAATAATCTCAAAGTTATAAGGTTGTAACTTTAAGATCCATTATCCTATTTTTCCTTTTGGTTTAGTAGTTTGTAACTATTTGAGAGCTATATGGTCTGTTATAAGTATAAATTTGGAGGTTCCTAAATATTTATGAAAATGTTCAACAGCCTATACTATTGCAGAACATTCTAGTTCAGTAGCTCTATAATTTACTTCTCCTAGTCGAAGACTTTTGCTAGCATAGGCAATTAGATATTCCTTATTGTCAGGGCCTATTTGACTTAAGATAGCTCTATATCTGTTATAGGAAGTATTAGTAGCTACTATAAATGTCTGTTTAAAATTAGGGTATGCTAATATAGGTGCAGTCATTAATCTCTTTTTAAGGGTATTGAAAGCTTCATCTTGGTCTCTTTTCTAATTATATTGTTGTTCCTTTTTTAATAGCTCATTCAATAGTCTAGCTATTTCAGAAAAGTTTTAGATAAACTTTCTATAGTATTCAGCAAGTCCTAAAAATGAGCGTAGCTGAGATATATTCTTTGAAAGTATTAATTTCTTAATTGCTTTAACTTTTCCTGGGTCTGATCCTATTCCTTGAGAGATTATTATATGTCCAAGAAAAGGTAGTCATTGCATTCAAAATTGATATTTCTCTAAATTCAATTTTAATTCAGCTTTTCTAATCTGTAGAAACACTTCTCTTAGATATTTCAAATAGTCATTAAATGTTCGTGAATATATTATTGTATCATCAAGATAGACAATAACAAATTTTTACACAATATTTCTATAAACTCAGTCTATTAATCTTTGAAATATTGCAGGGGTATTATATAGTTCAAAGGGCATAATATTAAACTCGTAGATTCTATATCGAGTTGTAAAGGCAGTCTTTTCTCTATCATCTGGGTATATTTGTACTTGCTAGTATCTCCAATTATAGTTGGCCTTAATCTTCTTAGATAAATTATTTCCAAGTAATAGGGAGTAGAAGATAGCAGATACTACTTTAACTGTAATGGGTATGCAAGCATCTTCAATCTCTATAGGAAGGTCTCTAAGAATTCCACGTAGTTGTATAGAGGTTCTAATAGCAGATACAATAAGACTAGTAGAGGCATGTTCAATTTTTAGTCCTAGCTCTTTGACAACACTATGAGCAATCATGCTTACAGTAGCACTACTATCAATTATTGCCTGGTAGAGTTGGTTCTTGATTTGCACATTACACTTGACAGAAGTGATGTGTTGAGATAACAAATTTTTATCTTTAGCTTTTTTATACAAGTATGCAGAGAGAGCATTCCTAATAGAAGCATTAGCAAGAAAAGCTTCCTATTGGTCTTAGATCATTTGAGGCTCTTGATCATCTTCATTGTCATTGTCTAGGTAGTTAATATTTCTAGAATAAGGGGATAAGGCTCTTTGATATTTATTCTTTCTGTCAGGTTCTCATGAACGACTTCGGCTTCTGTTGTCTCTATTCCAGTTTCGATAACTTCTTTCTTAACTTTGTGATCAATCACTTCTTTTCTATTGGTTATCAGATCTTTAGTAAGAGGGTCTTGAGGCTCTTTCTCTTGAATTATTGTTTGAGTAATATCTTTGGTTGTTATCATAACTATATCTTTGATTTCTATTTCCTTTATGTTGGTCATTCCTTTTTGTTTAGCATTGGGCAATAAAGTATCTATTTTTACCATAGTAATAGCAAGTAGCTTGAGGTTTAGAAAGTCTAGAGGATTCGATATAGTTGGTCTTTTTGATAGTAGGTTGTTTCTATGCAAGATTAATACTTAGTTGAGCAATTTGTTCAGTTAAAGTCTTGATAGCTTGGTCTGTTTCAGTGTTCTTGTTTGATGCCATTACATGTCCAGTTTCCTATCTTTTAGCACTAGTTATAGCAGCATTTAAGGTTCTAGGCTCTGTGGCTTATATATTAATAGCATATTCAGGATGTAAGCCTTGGATAAAAAGTTAGATAACAAAAGTAGCAGGAAAGGCATTTGTTCTATTGATTTTCTTTTTCAATTCTCTAAATCTATTTACATATGCATCTACAGTATCGTTGCCTTGTTTAATCTCAAAGAATTGTTTTTGCCAGATAGCTTTCTATTTAGGAGTATAGAATCTTTCTCTAAAAAAATATTTGAAACTTCGGTCTTGATGAGTATTATCATCAAACTAATTAGGAACAGGGTTAAGAGTAGTGAACTAATCAAAGGCAACTCCCTTGAGGAAGAAAGAGACAAGTTCAAGTTTTCTGTTATTGTTCTATCTGTTGGCAGCAGTAGCTCTCCGAAATTTTTCAAACTATTCTTCTAGGTCTTGAGTTCCATCTCCTGAAAAGTATTCAACTTTGATGAGGCTCTTCTTAGATCCTTGTCCTAAGGCATTAGCAAGGTCAGTCATAGCTGCGGCAGCAGCATTTAGAATAGCTTCAGCTATAGCAGATTGTTGTTGTTAAAGTAAAAAGTTTACGAGTAGTAGTAAGTTAAGAAGGAGAGGAAGTGTGATAAGGTCTTTAAATGTTAATGGTGTATCAACTAATATTTGGAGACTTCCTGGTTCAGAGTATGTCTGAGTTGCAAAGGGGTTTTGCTAATAGGGATAGTATTCAGATTCAAGGTAATAATCGTACTGGTTATAGTATGTAGGATCAAGAATAGATATGTTGTAGTAAGTATATCGAGCAAAGAGTTGACTAATAATTTTTTGAGAGTTGTAGTTGTTATCTTGATAAGTGTAGCTAAATATAATATCTCGACAGAGAGTTCTAGCAGTAGTTGAGTTATATATTTGGCCTAGATTACGAAATAAGTCTTGAGTTTTTCTACTGTAGTTAAAGCGTTGTAGGTTCATTAGTACCAGTTTCAAAATCTTCCAAAAAGTTGGCATCAGCTTGTTCTTCTTGTTGGGTAGCAGTCAATACAAGTAGTATCAGGTATGAGTGCTTAAATAACTAAGATAGCTCTGTAGTCTTCAGTTAAATATTCTTCGCGATGAGTTTGAATAGCTTCTTAGTAAAATTGTTATATAGTATAATTCATATAACTTGATAGGAGTCCTTCTCTTATCCTAAGAGATTTCTTTAATCAATAGTTTATTTCTTCTTTTTCTTCTGGGAATGTTTCATCCAGGTATTTTTTCATCTAGGAATTCTTTGTCTGAGAATGGAATTACTTACACCTATATTTTGGCTTATGGGTAATTCGCTTTAGAGTTCTTACTCTTTATTTCCAATAAGTAAAGTACTCTGTCTTCTTTAGGTAAGGGAATGTTTCTTCCTCAATAGTTTTCTTTTAGCAATATTTCTTTAGTTTTCTGTTAATATTTTTTTTAGCTTTCCGCCAGAAGGCACTAAATGTTACAGATAGTGTAGCCTTTTTAATATACTATAAGTAACAGCAATACAGCTATCTAATTACTTTAAGAAGCAGTGTCCAAAAGAGAAGTTTCTTTAACTATTTGTAAAGACAAGTTCCACTCTACAAGAGACAGTTCATTTAGGTTTATTTAATAACAATATATTTATTAATTATAAATATTTAGAGTCAAGTACAAGAGGGGGAGAAGGAGTTGAGGTCTAAACAACTAAAGGGCAAAAGAGGGAATTCTACTTGTATTTATAACTTTTAGCAAGTATCGTGTAAGCATCAGCAAAGCGTCATATAAGCAACTTGTGCAAGCATCACTTAAGTGTTCGTGCAAGCATCACTTAAGCATTCATGCAAGCGACAGTTAAGCATCACTATTAATAGTTTGGCACAGTAAGAGGCACAGTACTCAGCATAGTTCAGTACAGTCTAGCACAGTCTTTCAGCACAGTCTGGTACAGTATTGGTACAGTATTTAGCATAGTTTTGGTACAGTATTCGGCAAAGTATTCAGCACAATTCAGCACAGTGTTCAGCATAGTCCAGCAAAGTTTTAGCACAGTATTTTCTTGCTATAGCCCATGTTTTTTCTAGATATTACATAATACCTTCAGATGTAACTTATATCATTATATAGCTGATATTTTTGGCTACAAAGTTACTTAAGGATATTTTTCGCTATAATCGCTTCTTGAGGTACTTTACTTAGAGATGAATGTTTACAACAATTTTCTCTACTCTAAAATATCTATACTAAAATAATACAATATAAGAAATATCTAAATACTAATAAATGTAACTAATAATATAACTAAAATACAATAATAAAATAATAATAAAATAACTAAAAATCTATCTTATAACACTGTGATTAACTGTATTACACTAATGTTTTTCTATCAAGATTTATTTATATAACATATATCATCCTGTAATTAACTGCATCACACTACTAATGTCTAATTGACTTGGTGCAACTTAACTTACAAGATTACAACTTCAGAAATAAACAGAGTTTACTATAAGTTGAGTACAAAGGTCTGAGTAATTATTCAAATTCGTTGACAGTGGAATTTGAAGCTCAGACCTCTTGTATAGCAGTCTGATAACCTAACTACTACACTAAGATCACCAGATCTATTTGTATGATTATTGTAAAGAATTGTTATGCATATAAATATTATGAGCAATTATTATGCATAAAATATTAATCATAATTATTTTAAATATTCATATTCATAATTGTTATGTGCGAATATTATGCATAAAAGTTATTGTAAATATTATATATAATCATTATGAGTAATCATTATGCGCAAAAGTTATTGCAAGCAGTTATTATCATATATGATCATTATATGCAATTTTATAGACATATTTAAATAGAGAAAAAAAAAAGTAAAAAGGTTCGCTTTGTAATTTGATTATTAACAAATAAAATCACATAACTTAAATATTAAAATAAATTTATCACATACTTGTTATCCTATTTCAAATAATGGCTTCTTCTTCTTCTACTAATATATACATACTAGTTCTAAATATACTAAATATACTAATCACTCCAAACATTCTAATCAAAAGTCTAGTGTAGCTTTTCGTTGAACTGTCTGTTCTAAAATATAACAAAATAAAAGCCAAATGCAAGTTGTACACTAATAAAGAAATGTATTTTACTCTTAACAAAAGTTCTACTACTAGCCTACGTAGTCATATTACTAATATTCATAAAGTCAATATTGTGAAAGCAGTTAGTACTAGAAATTTTCTAGTTGTTTCTAAGCCTGGTAAGCATATTCTTAGAGAAGTATTAGTTAAGTAGATTACAGCTGATGATCATCCTTTTACTACTGTTGAATCAGAAAGCTTTAAAGAGTTAGTTGAGGTGATTAAAAAATTAGATAATAATATTATACTTCCCTCTGCAAGAACAATCAAGTGGAATTTGTTAAACCAATACTCAGAACTGAAAAAATCTGTAAGAGATGCTCTAATAAATAATTTGAGTAAGATATCTCTTACAACTAACATGTAGACAAGTAATTCATATAAAGCTTTTTTAGGTATCATGACATATTAGATTAATAAAAACTAGGAGATTAAGTCACAAGTTCTTAACCTTATACCTTTTGATAGAGCATATATTGGAGTAAATATGGCAAATATTTTATTTAGTATTTGTAATGATTTTGGTATTGTTAATAAAATTTTGGGAATAACTATTAATAATACTACAAGTAATAATATATTTCTTAAAGTATTTGAAGTTTAATTTAGAAATAATAGTGACTCTTTTGTCAGACAACAAGGTTATATCTGTTGTATAGCTCATATTATTAATCTTGCTTTGCAAGATTTTTTAAGCCATCTAAATTCAAAGGTATCAGATCAAAATGAAGATAAATTTCATATCTTAAACCAACTCACTTCTCAAACTTTAACTGTCAAAAAGCTTTGAAAACTTATCACCAAATTTCAGAGTTCGCCTTAGCATTGCAAAAGATTAAGTAACCTATGCTAATCTTATCAAATACAATTCAGCACTCTAATTCTTGACTCCAAGACCTGTTGGAATTCAACACTTAATATGATTGAATGCACTATTAACATGGCGCTAGTAATCAATAAGATAGCTGATAAATTCAAGAGCTAAATGAATTCAGTTAGTATTTTAAATAATTAATTTAATAATTTTGACCTAACTATTCATCGATTAGCCAACTAATCAATTAATAGTTGGATTAAAATTATTGATTCAACTAAGATAGCTAATTGATTAATCAATTTTCA